AATTATAAATATTCCAATATGTATTTATTTTCATTACAATTTTATTGATATTAATGTAGTAATTTATGTATTACTGACAATAATTAGTATAGTTTTATTAATTATAATTATGAACATTATATAGAATTATTAAAATTAGAATATTATTAATATATTCAAATAATAAAAATGAAATTATATGAATTTATTATCATTAATTTAAAATTAATATAATAATTTAAATTTTTATTGCTAACTGTTTTTATAATAATAATAGAATCAACATTATTAATATTATTGTAATATTATGATGAATATTAAAAAATTTATGTAAATATATTTTTTACATTGGAAAATCATATAATTATTTAGGGGATCGCTTAACACATATTAATATACTATTCTATCGCATATTTATGAAATTATTTAGATAAATACTTGAAACATATTTAAATACTTTTAATTATATATTTACATAATTATTTATGTCATCGCTTATTTCATTTTTATATGCAACGCTCGTGATCCCACTGGTGAACTATTAAAAGGTGGTTGTGTACCAGCGTGGACCGATACTAGCACTTATAAAAGCTGCTATTTTGGAAGGTGTTAAATTGTTAATGTCTTATGAGTAATTTCATAAATTTTCCTAAAATTAAATTCTTGTAAATTTCTTTGGGTGGGGTCCAACATTTGAAGGGTCAATGATGTCAAGTTCTCAACCATCCCAATAACAAATCTGGAAAAAGATGAACGTTTCGAACAAACATTTTAATTGGAGAAATTTATTAAAATGCACTATGAACTATTTAACATTTTATTTATTCTTTTATTTCATTTCAAGTTATCCAATCAAAATACACATGATCAACAGTTAGAATGGTTGAGATATGATGTTAAAGAATTGAGAAATTAGATTTTTTTCGTTTGATTGAGTTCTCTTCTAACTATTTGCACCATCGGATCAGCCTTATTTTCTAGAGCTCCAATTCATGAATTTAATGTAAAAATATATTTAGAAATATTAGGTATGGTTTTCCGGGTGAATCCATTGTTGTCAACATGGCCTTCCCAATCAATATTGTCAGATTAGCTTTTTGAGTCTTCTTCGATTTTGGTGAAAAAACAAAGCAATTTGATGCTTCGGTTTATTCGAGGGAAAATTTCGGTCTTTTTAAAAAAAAATTAATATAAATGAATTAGATATTGTATTTATAAAGATATATAAAATAATGAAAACATTAAAAATAAAATTTTCAAAAAATAATACTTTCGTATAGATATTTCTTTGCTTCTACCAAATCGGGCCAAAACTGACCGAAGCAACCCGAAGCTGACCGAAGAGGCCCGAAGCTGACCAAAGCAGCCCAACCTGAAACAATAGCACCAAGCTTCACTTCACTTCGGTCCAAGACTAAAATCCAAAGGCTTTAGCCTCTTCGATCAAAACGAAGCGAATCAGACAACAGTGTATCTTTTCCAAGAGTATGAACCTTTGACCCCTATGTTATAAGCAAATCCTTTTCTATATCTTTCATTTGACTTGACTCTTCTATAAGCAAATATTTTTGTATATCTTTCCGTTCCCTTTTTGTTTGGATAGTTCAGTGGCACAAATTTAAATTGAAATTAGTTTCACTTCAGCACTTGTTCCTAAAATTTGAAGGTTTCTCTGTCAGCATAACACAAAAATATCACTATATCCATTATTAGAAGGAAAAAGTTTGAAGTTGCAATCTTATAAAAGGTGCCCCTCAAATATCCCCAACAGAAAAGAATATTCCAAAGCTAACAATTTTCCTATTAATCATCTCGACCTCAATATGTATTATATATTAAAAAAAAAAAATTTCCTTTCATCCTGTAACAAGTTATCTAGACCGTCTTTTATTTTTAAGATTTTGAAGTTTTTATAGATTTACTCAATCAACACTTGTTTTCAAAGATTATTTCTTACCATGTAGATCGTCAGGGCCTATTTAGACAGTACCAAACATGAGAATCATAAAACTTTTCGGCAACTTATTTGTGCCTGTAACTTTTCAAACCTGAGTTGTGGATAAAATGCCACCAAAGAAAGAAAGAAAAGCCATTTTTCCCTTGTTCTATAATATTCAAAGCAATAATAGCCCTAGGCCACAGTCCAAAACCAGCCTAGGGGCTGATTCACTCAGAGATGTTTGTTGGTGTAGCATTGTTATTTTTGTTTCTAACACCACTTACCTACTGAAAAAAGTGAAAAACAACAAACAACAAACTAAAAACCCTATACAATTCCTTATCTATGAATAATATTCCTCAACAATTTCTTTCTTCAGTGAAGGGAAATTTTACCCTGAAAGCTCCAACATCAATCTAAGTTCTACTCTTTCTTCTCATACTTTTATTCACATAAGACATTGAATAACTTGACATTCAATCCAAGCATTTTTACACTTAACTGGCTCATTCTGCTATTTCCCTTTCAAAAATATGACCAAGTATTGGCATTAATAATAATATAAATGATGATGACTCTGATGATGATGATGATACAGACAAACACAAAATCTAAGCCACACAGAGACGCCTTGTCAGCTCATGATGGATGCATCTTGCACACACACCAAGGCCATGTAGCCTTTGCTGTGAAAGTTTCTTGCAAAAATGATGAATTTATTGCTTTTTATAATCAAATCATGTTAATTTGCAAACTGTTATTTGGGGGAGTTTGACGCTCTCTGTTCTTTCAACATGCTCTCGATGAAGAACTCACCTGCTCTGTAGGAGGACCGGACCTGCAACATACCAGAAAGAACTTAATAAGCGCAAACCAATAGGAGAAAAAAGGAAATTTACAATCAAATCACAATAAGAGGCACAAGATATTATCATCACCATCTTGATAAGTTAAAAAGGAAAAAGGCAATTTACACTCTCTAGTCATACAACTGCAAATGTGATCAGTTTCTGCCAAATGAAATAATAACTTGCAATTCAACATGATTAACAATGCTTCAGATCTCATAAACTTTTGCTTTCCAGAAAAAATCACAAAAATAAAAAATAATTATTTACAAGAGACTAAATAAAACAAATAAGTGAAAATGCACAATAGGGACACCAATAGGAATTCAGTAAAGGGAATATCTATTTGTAATCCTTTCTTCTTCTTTTTTCTTTTTTTTTCCTTTTTCGAAAAGTTCATCCCACAAACAAAAAGGAAGAAAATTACAGCATATTGGATGCCACTTCCTTGGAATAGTTCTCCAAATAGTGTAAAAGCCTGAAACTCACCGATCTCTCCAGGAATGATAGAAACTTCCCCAGCTTCTCAAATTTCTTCCACGTGCAAGCTCTCTCTCTCTCTCTCTCTCTCTCTCTCTCTCTCTCTTAAACATAGCTCAAAATCGCAACTTGTGAACTAATTTAATGGGTTATTATCATTGTCATAGAGCTGTTTTACCACACTCAACGGAAATATTTTTTTGCACATTGTAGAAGGAACATGTATAGCTCTCATTACATCAAAATCATCAACAATTGTGTAACAAAAAATCCAAAGCAGGGACGTTACCAGAGGCCCACTGGCAACATAACAAAACCCAATTGACTCTCCATACTCTTTCCAAAAGGCAAATTTTTCTGGAGTTACATATTCCTTTACTGTCAAGTGCAAGGGTGTTGGCTGCCAAGAAAGCACCCATTAAACAAACATGCACATAGAAACAATCAACCATGTTAGTCAAAAAATAAAACGAATGCATAGGTAGAAACGTGTAATAGTGAAAAGTATGATACTTATCAATAAAGGTGAGCAGCATATCCTTTACTGAGTAAAGAGGAGAGGTATAAACCTGTAAATATTGTCCAAGAGTGAGGATATCAACGCCAATTGATCTCATATCAGACATGGCTTCCTTCAACTCATCATCCGATTCCCCAAGCCCAAGCATTATGGAAGACTTGGTTATCATCCCTTCCTTGCATGTCTTTGCATGTTTCAAAACATTTAAGCTTTGCTGATACCTGCATTTTTAAAAGAATGTAAAGAAGAAAGCCAAGGGTGTCGAAGCCAATACAGAAAAATAGACAAATACGAAGAATGGAAGGAAAATAAACGGCACTAGAGAGTTCAGAGAGCAAAACTGAAGCAGCAAGTCAAATTATTCAGTTCATCAAATTTGGGGGAGGCTCTTGTCTTAGGCCTTACTACCCAAGCTTGCAAAGATGGAACTCTTGAGGAAGAAATAGAGGACCACTCTTTCTTTACCATGATTAAGGGAAGATAATCGAGTACAATGTCAAAAGGATATATTCCAGTAAGAGTAAGTGGAGTATTTACCAACTCCTATGGAAAATTTTGCTCCTCTAATGAGATTTATGGAGTTCCAGGCAAGTGGGTGTAGTGAAACATATAAGAGAAACTAACTGAAATGCTGTGAGAGTTGCATAGATGATACTGAGTCATTCAACAATGCCAGACTGAGAGAAACACCCAATTGGTATTCAAGAAACTAACTGAAATGCTGTGAGAGTTGCATAGATACTGAGTCATTCAACAATGCCAGACTGAGAGAAACACCCAATTGGTATTCAAGATTAAAGAGTTCATAGAGAGAGAGAGATATTGGTGTATGAGAACCAGCTCTGTACTATGACAGAGGACCCTAGTATTGGGACAGTTTTGTAAGCAATCAAAAGCACATAGTGAAGTAGCCTATGCATATCCTTTTTGTATCTAAGATACATGCTTGAGAAGGGACACAGACCGCTATAAATAATAGTCATAATAATGACATAAAATCATTGTACACAAACAAAGAAGAGAGAGAACTAGAGATGTCTGTGTACATTTGGGTGGGCAGATGGGGAGAGAGAGAGAGAGAGAGGCAGGCAGGTTCACAAGCAAACGTAAGGATCTCATCCATTGGTAAAATAAACATCGGAGAGGGGTTGACAGGAGATATCTACGACTAGATAATTCTCCATTCCACCAACATCCTCTCAATCATAGGAACACATAAGAAACACATCTGCACGTTTTATATGTTATTAAGGGATGCATGTTGATAAAGTGATTCATAGCAGTAGAAAGGACTACCAATTCATCAACATATCAAACAATTTATTTTACCCTGCTCGAGGATCTCTAACCAGACGCTGAAGCCTTTTCACGGTCTCAATGTTGTGAGCAAACACATCTAGACCGGAATGAACCACAGTGGATACAGCTCCCAAATCTCCTTTAAAATCAGAAGTTAAGCACTCGACAAGGATCTCTGGCTTGAGGTCCTGCACAGTGAATCAACAAATATTTCAGCCGCTCGCACATAAAAATACGTTTCCATCCCTACCCACCTCCCTCCCTTTGTGCGTGTGTATATCAACACAGTATTTGACTGAAAGTAAAAGCATTTGCAATATTTTGCACAAAGCAAAAACCTTCAATGTTTTGACTGTACGAGCAAAATGGCCACTCCCACCATCGGTTAGGTCATCACGGTCAACACTTGTCAGAACGATATAACCAACACTGCGAAATAAATAAATCAGAATAAGTATAGTGACAAAGACAAAGCTTCATCTAGCTTATGCTATGTCAATTTTGGAATACGAACCATCAGCAAAATTGAAAATGTGTACTATCATATTTTATAAAGTCATTTCAACTACATTCAAGGAACAACAATAATCTTGGGGCACGTTTAACTGGTGGAAGAGGGCTCTGCGGCTCTGCCATAGACTCCTTTTCTACAAATTGTGGAAGAGGCAGCTTCCATGCCACGGCATGGAAAAGCATCTTCCAAAAATGGCTCCTTTTTAAGAGGAGCATGGAAGGTCGCACTCCCATATTGCGGTTTCCACACTTCTTCATCAAACAAGAGAGGTGGAACTTAGGTCTCCCATGCCCAAAAAGCTCAACCAATCAAACATGCCCTTAATAACAAAAGTTAAAGATCATTTAACATTAATTTACAATAAGTTCAGTCCTGTATTCCTCAGACAACATTGTAACCTAGACACACATGTCTAGAAATTTTAGGGGAATAAGAAGTGCACGAGACAGCTGAGAGCAACTACTCCACAAGACGACCCGATTTATGATTAAAAAAAACCAATCATTGTACATTACTTATTTAATAATTGACCTTTGTTTGAGAGAGAACATTGGAAGCTGTGGCCCTTACACCATTCTCACTATAACGTCAGAAGTGCAGATGAACATAAGGTTGGGTTAGTATGAAGATGGGGTCATCCTCAGATAGTTGTTGGTCTGCCTCTCTTTTGTGGTTTTAATGCAAAACACCACCCCTTTTTTTCTCTTTTGACAAGTTGATCTAATCCAAGCATCTAACGTATAAAATTTATGGTGATTGAGAGGAAGTGGTGAAAGCATTAACATCTTCTACGTTTATGCTACACCTAACACTGAGTAATTCAGTCACACAGGGGTTAGAGAATTTTTGTCCCCCCAAGCACCTATATAAATAAAGGAATCTTGATAGGCTCTCATTCAATGTTATCATGACCAGACCGGTCATGGAACTAAGGAGGGCACCAATCCAGCACAAAGCGGTCGGTCAGGCCCAATTCAGACTGGTTTTGTTATCAGGGCTAGACAGTTCGAATTTTTTTATTGGTATGAAAATATAAAGAAATAAAATTTTAAAAATGCAGTGCAAAACCAGTCTGAACAGGGCAGCAGTCTACACCACCGGTTCAGACTAGTTTTGATGAGTTGGTGGTTCAATAATCAGAAAGGATAAGATCTGGCCCAGATTCCCAGTGCAACCAGTGGCGCAGACCGGTCTGGTCCAGCCTTAATAGCATTGTTGCCATGTCAAGCAGGATGTCTAGCAGGACTTAGTGTGAGCTCTTGTATGGCCTGGTTTTTCATCTCTCGAAAAATCGAAAAACCAGAAATGTGGTGGTGGTTGTGCACTGGTTTACCTCACTAGATCAGCTGCTTTGCATCAGGTCTTTTTATATTAATTTCTCTCTCTAAAGTGGGGTATAGACTGAGGAAATCAATGAACCATTGTGCATCAAGGTTTGTTTTCGGGATGCAACAAGGTGTTAACTGGCTTGGTTGTATCTGGAGGTGGATTTGACAAAATCCTATTGCAACTCAAAGAGCACTAAGTGTGGGCGAAGAGTATCATGAAGAAAGCAACTTCTAATGAGCCCCCGAGATTGGGTAAACTCAGCAATATCTTTTCTGGTTCTGAAATTGATGAAATTGACAAAGTTGATTTCCGTTGAATTATTTCCCACAGACTTAACTTTAGTTAATCATTCATGCTTTCATTTTTCCATCATATTATTCTTAGTGGATACTGTCATTGGATAATATCATTTAAAGTTTACTCTTACTGAATAATGTCAATGGTATCATGATCAAGGGTCTCATGCAAGCAATCATTGAGATAGTTGGTCAAATAGAACAAAGCGGGCCCCACACTGAAGTAACATTTAATCTGTTCTCCATGGCAGCTCTTTTTGTGGATGAGGGGGTACAAGAACCATCTCCTCTCGGATTTTTTAACAGAATGCGTATTTCTCATGTCCTTCAATCCTTAAAATAGAACAAAACACAAAAGGAGTTTGGGTCGTAAGACCTTATTTTAAAGGAGAAGGTTTCTCATATTGTGGCCATCTTTCTTTGATGGGACAAAAGCTTTACCATAGCATTGACATATCCAAAGCCATAGTCATGATTTGGATACAATCAAGATCGAAGGCAGGGTTAGGTTCGAAGCCAATCAAGAGAGAGCACAAAGTCTCTGAACGGAGCAAAAGGGGCACGACTAGAAATCATTTTCACCTTCCTTGGGTTTATCACTAACAATCTGCTTCAGGATCCAAAGTGAAATGGGGCAGCTAAACACCTACACACCTGCACACATGTGCATGCACACACACACAGATACTACAATGGCAAAGCCACCAAAATATTTTTTGTCTAAGACTCTCTACAGATAGCAACTCATTAAAACAGCAAGAGACAGATGCTTAGCGCAGCATTTTTAGTCAATTGCTAAGTACAAAATGAAAAAATTATGCTAAGCAAAAAAGGTTCTAGTTAGGCCCATACATGGATGTGGAATTCAATCCATATGGTGCAGCATTTTGGTCAATTGCTGGACACCAGTTAGGTACATATGTGGAAGTAGAATTTAATCAATATGGTAAACTTTATCGACATCGACAAAAAATTTCAGAAGGACAGGTATATCCACCCTCGACATCAACTCACGTTCAATTCTTCCTTCTTTTCTTTCTTCTCTTAATGGTAATTAAAGACCAATTCTCATGATCTCATGGACATAACTCACTGATCAGTATGTAAGTTTGAATGTCATAGTGCAACAACTTTCTCTAAAAGGCCAGCACGCTTCACCACATCAGATTTTTATATTGACTTAATCGATATGGTTAGAATGCCACAAATTGGCATGTATAGCATTTGAATCACTCCCGTGCCACAAATTCTCAAAAAATAAAAATCCTTCCCATGTCACGGAAACCACAAGCACTTTATTGGATCAATATTCCAGTATCCCCAATTTATCCAAAATTAAAGACCCATCATGACACTAGATCAGGATGGGTTGACCACAAAGGGCCTGTCTAAGAAACTCGAGTAGAAAATGAGAAAACATTTCCACACGATGGAGAAAATAAACAATAAAGATAATGATAAGGCCAATTCAACTGTACATTGAGCATAATCAACCCACATATCAATGTCGAACAATTTTTGCACAGCAGTATAAGCAGGGATATACGACGCAAATAAAAGAAAATACAGTAGCTAGCACGCAGGCATGGTCAAAAGCACAAGTGAAATTCCAAATGCCTGCCTGCAAAAATCGAACATTGCATTCTCCCACACTAGCTTCCTATTTACTAACTTCCATTCCTTCGCCAATCATTTTTAACGATCCATTTTGTCTAAAACATAAACATGATGTCTCCAATACTTACTCTATAACCTATCCCCAAAGTAAAAAATAAGAATGAAACAAACAGGAAAACAATAACTTCTACAAGAAAACCATTGTCTATTGGCTCCAATACTTACTCTACAACCTATCACCAAAGTAAAAATTAAGAATGAAACAAACAGGAAAGCAATAACTTCTACAAGAAAAGCATTGTCTATTGGTAACCAATGAGACATCATTTAATAGCTCAACAAATGAGATACAATGATAAAAAGATAAATGAAGTCCCACCAAAAAATAAATTAAGAATGAATTACAACAAAATTAATAAATGAAAACTTTACCCCCAACTTGCAATTGCCCTTGCAGTGTTCTCAGGTTCCATTGGGTCAGGAGGGGCTGGATTTCTACTGGTTTTCACTGCACAAAACCTGCAACCACGTGTACAAGTATCCCCTAAAAGCATAATTGTTGCGGTCCCAATGCCATCTCCTTCCCCACCTGCTCCTCCACCACCATTCCAACACTGGCCCCACATGTGATGAAACCAAATATAATAAGATAACAGCACCCAGCTTGAACAACTTCTTATTTATGGTGAAAAATTTAGTTGTCAATACTTCCTTGGCAAATATAGTCTCTAGGTAAAATTTTCAAAAATTCATTTTTCTTAGGAATTTATTGATATATCGTGGGAAAAAGTAAGAAAATGACACAAAAAATAAGCTCAATGTCATAAAATTGGGGAAAATATATTGGAGAGAAGATGAGAAAAATAGTTGTTTCTACTGTATTTTTAAATGTAAACTATTAGAGCTATAGCTCTTAGAACATATGCTACAATATCGCTTACATTTCTATATATTTCATTTCAGTGCGAATTTAGAAACTTATTTTTTCATTTTAACTAATATATTTTCCTGTAAAATGCAAGAAAAATAAAAAATGAATAAAAATATTACAATATTAAGGACCAACGAAATCACATAGTGTATTGTGATATTGAGATCATGATCTTTCTCTAAGACAAACGTCATATTTTCCTAAGAAATTGCATAATTCAAAACAATTGTCACTGTGTTCATCATAAAATCAAAGACTGCATACCTCTCCAATATTTGGGCACTGAGCTTCTTCACAGACTGTGTTGAGCTTCAAGTGAGAAAGCGAATCCTTGAGCTCCTGATACCTTCCACCTTGTGGGGCTCTTTGCCTGAGCCACTGGGGCTTTTTAACATTTGGATCTCTTCCTGTATAGGGTCCTAGACCTCCAGGATAAGGGTTATGTGTTGGTTTATCACTGGACTCGAACAATTGGGTTGGTTTCAAAGGGGGTTTTAGTGATGAGTCGTCATGGATTCTTGTCTTTGAGGCGTCAATGGCCTCGCATCTGAAGTGCAAAGGCGGGAAGGGTGCACAATGGGTTTTGGGTTTTTGCAGAGGGATTGAAAATGAGGAGGAAGCATAAGAGAGAGGCTGGAGAAGCATGGTGGGTGAGTGGTGGTTAATGGACTGGTGAATGCCTGAGCTTTAATGGGTCGTTCGGATCCTTGGATACGCAAATCTGGGCTTTTCTCAATACTTGGTTTTGCAGATTCTAGTATATATAAATGCTGATTTAGAAAACAATGTTGTTGGGCTTGCTGCTGGAAGAACCCAGTTTATGAAAAATACCATGTTTGGCACCATGAAGATGAAAACCAGGTTTTGGTTGTTTGCTATTACTGCAGTTTAACTGTTCATTCTATAAGTTGATGATTCTCTAGTAATACATGACCAATATAAAAGCTTTTTAAGTTATCAATAATATAACAAATATGTCTTATCAAAAAAATATATATAACAAATATATTTGACAGTTCGGATCATATTTTTCGATATGTTTATAGGTTGAATTATGATTCTCTCTTTCAGTCTCACTCTCTCTCTCTACATACATGACCCATGATAAGTGATTCCCAGATTACATCATATCCATAACACTGCATCTCATTAGATAATGAAGAAGTCAAATATTACAAACGCATTAGACGGTTTTGATCATATTTTCTTATCTTGTTTAGGTTGAATTATGTTTCCTCTGTCTCTCTCTCTCTCTCTCTCTCTCTCTCTCTCTCTCTATATATATATATATATATATATATATATATATGTATATACCGACACAACCCACAATAAGTTATTGCTAAATTGCATCATATCCATAAGTAGATAATGAAGAAGTTAAATACAAATTCCCCAAGATGTCCAAAATTATACTTCGCATAGGATCTGATTTTCGGCTTATGACCATAATTAAATTAAATTGTTCTATAGGCTCTATGCCATGTCCCCTGCGAAAACTTGATCCATGAGCTGCATAGGAGGTAAAACAATGCCGAACGATTTTCCTTCAGCTTCATTAGCCTATGCACATGCAATTTGTAAAGGTTCAACAGTTATCCCAGTATGTGGGTTTTTTAAAGTAAAAATTGCACCCATATTTGAAAATTGGGAAAATATCCCCTTATCCCCTATTTTTCTATTGAAAATATTACTTGCAAGCAAAAAGTCTCCATCTTGTCTATCTTACAACCCCCTGGACCCCTTTGACCATAAATTTTTTACCCAAACAAACACTAAAATGACACCCTATCCAAACTCCATCTCTCTCTCTAAAACTCCATCTCTCTCACATCACCGTCAGTATTCACCTGGACCCTAACCCAAACCCAAACCCAGGGACCCTAATACCATTCAGCTAGATCCAATTTTTGGACCCATGCCAAACCGAGTCTTAGTCCCCTGCTGCGCGCGGTAGAGAGAGAGGTGTAAACTTTTCTCAGGCGCTCACTGTACCCTACCATCATCTCTCTCCGTACCTAACACAAGAGGAGAGAGAAACACAGTGAAGGAAACATGGCATAAGTAGTTTGATTTCGCAGAAGAACAGATTCTAGGTCACCATGGCCATGTAAATAGAAGAGAGAGAGAGAGAGAGTAGATTTATGTGTAACCATATGAGGCCTCCATGTGTCAATCCATAATGCAGGTGTCACTCTTCTCCCAAACAATCCCTCCCCAAAATTTCAAATTCCTCTCTCTTCTCTCTCTCTCTTTCTCTCCATGGATTCTCAGACCATGACAAGCCCCACCTATCTTTCTCCTGCCCCATAAGAGAGCGACCCCCTCTTGTTCAAACCAGTGGATTGGCTCATCGACCTTCTCTCTATACACCTCAACTTCATTTCCCATTTCTTCTTTGCAATTTCATCCACATTCTATGCCTTCTTATCCATGGTTCTCGAGTTCTTTCACTCGATTGGTGAGGCCAAACACAAGGCTGAAGAGACTGCTCACGAAGAGCTCGAAGCCGTTTCGAGAGCTCCCTTGGCCGTGGCTGAAGGTGGGGGTCTATTTGTGAAGAAGCTGGCGTTTGGCTGCTTGGGGGCCACGTATGTGTGCTCAATTCTCGTTTTGCTCCTGGTTTTTGCTGTGCTTTTGGGAGTTGGGTTTGTTAATCTTTGGGTCGTTAAGAAGAACCTCCATTTTGATTATACTCAGCCTCACCATGTTGCTGTTGTCTCTTTTGATGATTTGGGGAATTTCAAGAGTTTGGTTCGTGGGAAGAGAGCTATACCAGCTGGTCACACCTTCTTTGTCTCTGTGGTTCTAGTAAACTCACTGGTAAGTTTTTCCAGCCATTAGATCCGGCAGAACTAGTATTGGGCGACCCCCTGGTGAATAGAACTCATCCTTGGATTCGCCAGATTCAGTCAAAGACCTACCAGAAAATGCCACATTCTCTCCGGAAAAAGCCCCATTATTGCTGGGAAAAGCCACATTCTCACTAGAAACCGACCTGGATAGAGGCGGCAATGGCCTGATTAGGAGTCTACTTCACGATGCCCAAGGAAGAGAGAGAAAGTCCATATTTTGGTTCTTTGAAAAAAAAAGAAGAGTGAGGACTGAGTTAAGACTTGAGAGTGTAGAGAGAGAAAGAGAAAGAGAGAAAAGAAAATGGGAGATGAGAGAGAAAGAGATTGTGGGTAATAGAAAGGTGGAGTAGACAAAGGCATGGAAAGGTGAGGATTAATTGAGAGAGAGAAAAATTTGAGATTTGTTGAGAGAGAGAGATAGCAAATTGAGAATTTTTGCGGGGAAACTGGAAAGGTGAGGAAGAGAGAGAGTACAGAAAATGAGAGAGAGAAAGTAGAGAGAGGATGATGAGAGAGACAGGACAGTGACTAGGAGCATGGTTTTAGTGAAGCAAAGAGAGAGAGTAGATTTATTAGGAATAAGAGATGGAGTTTCAGAGAGAGATGGAGTTTGGATAGGGTGTCATTTTAGTGTTTGTTTGAGTCACAAATTTATGGTCACAGGAGTCCTGGGGGTTGTAAGATAGAAAAGATAGAGGCCTTTTGCTTACAAGCAACATTTTCAATTCTTGGGTCTAATGAGTTATGGAAGTTTAAAATAGGGGATAAGGGGATATTTTCCCTTGAAAAATACCTGAACATAATCATTCCAACCGGGCACAGTTATTGTCCTAGTACTTTCATCAAATTGGAAACCAGGTTGTTTAAGGAATTGTTTAACATTCCTATACTTACACCTCAAACATTTGACTCTGTTTTTAGCATATCTATGCAAATATGGGTCCATACTCCTCACACTAGACGCTGCATATTTCTTTCCAATTCTTCTTATAGTAACATGCACATAAACAATTGCACATTTGACAGTAATTAGTAGTAAAGTACTTCAACTATCGTGGAAAGACAGGTCCAGAATTCTATCTGCAATTTTCAGCTGCATTTGCTCAACATTTTTGGAACCTGCCTGACAAATAATATCTATAATATAATCAGAGTCACATTCCAATGGATTTGAAAACAATCTAGAAATTCTCAGCCACTCTCAAATGGCAAGAAATTTTATCATTCAATCTCAGGACGGGGTATGTTCTTTTAGCCATGCCATTCACTCGATGTATTCGTCTGGCTGACCCACATTGACCTACTCATACTCAAATATTTGGGCCCATGTTCACCGTATATCAGGCCAAATAGCCATCAGATATGAGCAGGTTGTATATTCTGACAATCATTGGTTCTAAAGAACTAACTATCAATCTCCTCAAACATCAGCTACGTTTAGCTTATACATGAACTTAAGCATTTCTAAAATCAAGGGTGCAATGTTCTTTACTTGTTGCTCTAGCTGTTTTATAGAAAAGCACAATCATTCATATAACGAGCCTAGTGAATTATGCTATGGAAAATTATTTCATGCGGGCTGGACCACATTTCTACAATATGCAGTCCCAAGGTACAAAGCATCCATCTTAAAGACGGATGAAAATAGGTGGTCCATCTAAAAATAATTGAAACTAACGGTCCAAATGTTTTCTAAATATATTTCTAATTTTCAAAATTTATTTATTTTTTCATTTTCATGATCTCCATGTTAGAGATTACATGTCCTTAAAAATTATGTCCAAAAATCCATCTCAAAATATATTTTTAAGAAGTGACTCATTCCTACATGAACTCATAGAAACCGTGTCCTTATGCTATTACTAATTGGGTATTGGTCAAAGATCAAACTAATAGACAAATATGTCAACAAGCATAGGTGAAAGGGAGCTATCTTATCAGATTCGTGGGCTTATTTTAAGTAGTTCTTTCTAACTTCATCTAGCAGTAGTTAGGAAGCACCAATTAAGTCACAGCCAAGTGAATATTTTCCTTTAGTAAGACCAGAAAAACAATGAAAAAAAGATATATAAACCCAATGTTTATCACCAGATCTTATCATCAGTGGAATAAAAAGGAAATGCATGGATGATGACATGGAACAATTTGTAATCTGATAATGGTTGTCTTCAGAATTTCAACAGTAAGGAAATACCAATATAGTTTGATCCAAATTTCTATTACTTTGGTTCAAGTTACTTTTGGCAAAAGAGAGAGAGCAATGTATGAGAGAGAGAGAGAGAGCAAGCAATTTTTGGACAAGTGAGAGAGCAAAGATTTTTTGGACAAGAGAGAGAGAGAGAGTACTTTATAACACATTTTCTGATGATATTTCCGTATATAGCCTGTCTGCACTGTTTTGATGCAACTAGATGCATACATTTTCTGATCTATGAGAAGTTAATCATAAAAAATGAACACATCAAATGATGCATTACACTTGATTACCTCTAAAACTCCAAGGATAGTTTTGCCCAAACTGCTATCATCATCAAATGACTAACCTATCTATAACTAAATGCTAACGTCCTCAAAACTAATTAAAGTATGGTCAAAACCAAATGGATTTCCAATGGCTAAATACAACATGATGGTCTAGATGCTCCTACCCATGATCTTTGAAGAACTACAAAATGAACAGAAAAAACCCATATATTCCTAGGTCATAGACCTCAACCAGATGAAAATATAAAACCTATCAATCCTAGTCCAAAACTTGCAATACCAATACTTGAAACAAAAAGGGAAAAAGAGAAAAAACTTATGATACATAAAGCAATCAACAGAGATTAACTCCTAAATTAAGAAGAAATCATAGAGAAGGAACTAAAGGCAAGCCAAAAACTCTCAATGTACAAGAGCTTGGCAAGTTCTTCAAAACTTGCATGTGTCATAGAGATAGAGGGAGCTGTAATAACAGGAAATCCTAAAAACATTCCACCTATAACAGGAAATCCCCAAAAGCCACAAATCATAAACTCTCCAAAAAAAATTCATAACCACAAACATTGCCAAAAACAATCCATTGAAGCATTAAAATGGCTCCAAATCTCCTGACATCTCAGGGATTAAAGAACCCACAAAACCTGAGCAACATAAATAGATCTACCAACAAAGTAACTCATAAATTGAGTCACAGAGATAGAGGGAGCTGTAATAACAGGAAATCCCCAAAAATATTTTACCTATATCTGAAAAGCCCCAATAACTGGAAATCCCCAAAAGCCAGAAATCACCTAAATTCTCCAAAAAATATTCACCACAAACATTCCCAGAAAAAAATCCATTGTAGCAGTAAAAATGGCTCAAAATCTCCTGAAATCTCAGGGATTGAAAAACCCACAAAACCTGAGCAACATAAGTAGATATACAAACAAAGTAACTCATAAGTAGCGCATTTTTACAAATTTAAGGGAAAAACGATTTTCACAGTGCTCAGAATACATACCTCAAGCTCTGGTTTTAATCGCGGAAGGTAGGTTACCGACTTTAAAGAAAAAACTAGCAACAATGGAGCTCGAAGTGTTGAGCAAAGTACGAGCAAAGGATTTATTCGCTCAACCTTTAGATAGAGAGGTGAAGAGAAACGATTTCAAAAGAAAATAAAGAGATTTATTGATTGGGAATTGCAGGAGAGAGAAAGAGAGATTGATCGGGAATTACAAGAGAGGAAGGAGAGAGAGTGATTAACAGATTGGTGGGCATTACAGTAGAGAGAGAAGCTTGTGATTTGTAGTGATTGGCTTGGTTTGCTGAACTTTGGAATGTCCGCTTTGGCAGTTGAGGAGTCGCTCACCGGCTAGAGAGAGAGAGAATTTGAGTACTCGACTAGTCCCGGTTCGGCACGCAATGCATAAATGCGATTCAGCAGGATCCGGAAAAACTTTGATAGGCTAGGCGAATCGTCTATCCATATATGTGTGTTAGATTGTTGGATTACCGATTTGGATGGGCCATATTGGTAATAAAAATAAATATTTAAAAAAAT